AGTTAGGAGAGAAGATCCTTCCTGAAATCATTCCTATCCTGGAAGATGGGCTGAAGTCAGACAAGAGTGATGAGAGACAAGGAGTCTGCATCGGGTTGAGCGAGATCATGAAATCGACCAGCAGGGATGCGGTGAGTTAGATGTTCCAGGGGGAAATTCTCAGTTTCCAAGGTATTTATGTTATGGTGCAGGTATTGCACTTCAGACAGAATAATACACATAGTGCTGGACTTGTTCTGTGGACTGAATTCAGGGCTTATAACTACATTGAGTTGCTGTTCAGGCAAATGTATGGATTTGTATCTGTTGGTAAAGTCTAACATTGCACAGTTCTGACTTATATGAAAATCTTCCACTAGGTAGCCTTAGAGCACTGCAGCTTGTTTGTACTGAGTAACTCTGTTTGTCTGCCAATATATTTCAATTAAACTGCAGTTTAGTTTCAGTTGTGCAAATTCTGCATTCTCAGCCACTTCACTAGGATAAATGTGACTGTTGTGCTTTAGGTATTCTGTAATTTTACCTCTTCAGGTTCTGCTTTTCTCCGAGTCCCTGGTTCCTACAGTGAGAAAAGCACTGTGTGACCCTCTGGAAGAAGTCCGTGAGGCTGCAGCCAAAACATTTGAACAGCTGCACTCAACAATTGGCCATCAGGCTCTTGAAGACATCCTGCCCTTCTTGCTGAAGCAGCTGGTGAGCATTGCTCAGCATTAGTCAACAACCTGATTAATGATGCTGTGGGACAAGTTTTGAATAATTTACTTAAAGGAGAAGGAGGATTTTAGAGGCAGACCTTCCAGGGAATGGCAGCGATATTTTGTCTCCTCCATGGAGTCATCCTAGCCATTGGTAGGAAGGATCTTGTGGCTAAAGCTTAGGTCTAAAAGTTGCTACACCTGGCTGTGCTACGGAATTGCCATTGTCATCTGCTTAAGTTGCTTGGCCACCATGCCTGAAATGGAAAATCTTTCTAATGGAAAATCTTTCTAATGTGACAGAAGAGTGTGATTTTGGTCTTGCTATGTAGTAAGAGAACATTTTTCAATAGAAGGGCTTGGTTTTGGTTATAGGATCACAGGGTAAATTGTCCCTTGAAACGGGGTTTAGCTCGGTGTGTCACAGATAATTTCTCAGGTTTGTCACTTTCTCTTTCCCTATAGGATAATGAAGAGACAGCTGACTTTGCTGTGGATGGTCTTAAACAAGTTATGGCTGTCAAGAGCCGTGTGGTGCTGCCTTACTTGGTGCCAAAGGTACAATGGGAAACAAATTTTTAACTTCATATCTGTGCTGTTTCCTCTGCTTGCTGCCAGTTTTCTTTGGACCAATATGGCAAAAGGAAGATCATAATTTGAAATTTTCTTCTGATTTTAAGCTCAAAACATTGTAATTCGGGTTGCGATGCATAAATTTTTCATGTTGTAGATGAAGTGAGATTCCTTCTGAAAAAACTTTGTCTCATTTTTTGGTGTTATTTTTTTTGGGTTTTGTAGCTGACTACCCCTCCAGTGAACACCCGTGTGCTGGCTTTCCTCTCCTCGGTGGCAGGGGACGCTCTGACACGGCACTTGAGTGTCATCCTGCCTGCCATGATGTCTGCACTCAAAGAGAAGCTGGGCACCAGTGAAGAGCAATTGGCAAGTAGCACAGCTCAGCTCTTTGTTGTGACAGGTTGCCTGAACATAGTGCATCAGGTTTACTTCCCAGCCCAGAATCTGTGTTCTCTAGATTCACAGATTGCATGTTTAATTCAGTCCATTAGCTTCTCCAGGATGAGTCTTTTTGCCTGGTGGCATATTGTGAGTCAAAAAACGTATGCTTTCCAAATCTATTTGTATCCATTTAAAAGTCTCTTTGGCCTGCTACAAGACACAATTCTCAGTTTACTTATTCCTGGAGAACTGCCAGAGTGTCTAGTTAACTTCATATTTATTCTTGGTGTAGAAGACTGAGAGATTAAAGGGCTGCAGGAAGGAAATCTCCTGTTTTGCATGCAGCACTCCTCCTGTACTGCTTTCCAAAACATCTGGTGTTTGGACTCCAGAGAACATCCTGGAGTTGTGACTGCGGACAGACATGTACATAATCAGTCAGTGAATTAGGAATGAGTGACAGAGTCCTGTTGTCTGTCTGCCATGGATGCCCATTAGATCAGCTTCTAGCCCCAAGTCTGCCTGGAGATCTCTCATGTACCCACAGATGTGCTTGTAATTAGTGTTATGACTCACAGCATTAAACTACCTAAATCAGAAGAATGTTATCTGACAAGACTCACAGACTGTCTTGGATGAGTAAGATGGGGAAGACTGAACTACTCTTAATTTTTGTAAATTAGCCCTCCTGTAGCTGGTGCAGCAGAGTTTGGTCACTTGGTAAATGTTAAGAATTGGTCATAAACCTATGTCTGCTCCAGGACTGAGACAAGCTTTTAGTGGTGATGTTAGCAGCTATTTAATGAGAAACAATTAGCAAGTGAGGTGTGTTGTAGTATTTCTCTAAGAGAAAATGCTGGGGCTAAATCTGTTCTGTTTGAGAGCTAATGTAAAGTTAATTTGGACTCTTCAGGAGATGGCAAACTGCCAGTCTGTAATCCTGTCTGTGGAAGATGATGTTGGACAAAGAATTATAACTGAAGATTTGCTAGAAGCTACCCGCAGCCCTGAGCTGGGCATGAGACAGGCAGCAGCCGTCATGCTGAATATCTACTGCTCCAAGACAAAAGCAGACTACACTGGTCATCTCAGGAGCTTGGTTTCGGGCTTGATTCGTCTGTTTAATGACACCAACCCTGTGGTTCTGAATGAAAGCTGGGATGCGCTTAATTCCATCACCAAGGTGAGAGGCATCTCGAAAAGGTGTCGGGGTAATGCCTGGCCTGAGAAGACTTCACAAAGAACATGGATGCCATGTTGCCTCATCTTTGTCTCTTCCCTCTCTTCTGCAGAAATTAGATGCTGGGAACCAGCTTGCTCTCATTGAGGACCTGCACAGGGATATCCGGATTGTAGGGAATGAGGCCAAGGGGGACCATGTGCCGGGATTCTGTATTCCTAAGAAGGTAAAGGATCAGAATGGATGTGGATTCATCGCAGCCACAAGACACCCACCTCTGGGGAGAGCTGACTGATATGACTTTACAGCTCTTAGAAGCAGCAACTATTTGGGCATTCCAAATCTGTGAGTTGGAGAGACTTTTTGTAGGTTACAGCTCTCCTGAGTTACCCTCCAGAAGAGTCCTCTTGTAATGAGGTCTCTGACAATTCTGTTATGCATGTAAGTCATGGTCACTGGCTGCTTTTTGTGGGTGAGTAACACTGGACTTCTGTGCCAAATTTCTCTGGTTTAAAAATTCCCTGAGCTGCCACCACTTTCCTCATAGCAACTGGCTTAGTAAGGCAGAGAGGCATGAAATCAAACCAAATAAAAGTAGGTCTGTCAATGTGGAATCAGGCAGCTGAAGGTCAACAGGAAATTGAGAGAAACCCTCCAAGTTTGTGCATCTGGTGTATAATGAGAGCAAAAATAAGGTACATATTTTTTGCATCTTAGCTTCTAAGCTTTCTTATCCGATTTTCGTGACAGGGAGTGACTTCAATACTTGTGGTGCTGCGAGAAGGTGTTTTAACTGGGAATCCAGAGCAGAAGGAGGAGGCAGCAAAGGCCTTAGGGCTGGTTATTAAGCTGACTTCTGCTGAAGCTCTTAAACCATCTGTGGTGAGCATCACTGGGCCGCTTATTCGAATTTTGGGAGATCGGTTCAGCTGGAATGTCAAGGTGGCTCTGCTTGAAACATTAAGCCTGCTTTTAGCTAAGGTAAGATTCAAAGTATTGGTGGTTTGTGAACATTTTCCATGATAACCTTCAGAAATATCTGTTGCTGTTCATGTAAATACAGCTGGGATGCCTGCTGCCATGGATTTGATATTTAGGGATAGCACTGTAACTGGATTGCATTCTTCCAGCAGTTTCTGGCCTACCAAAAAAGCCCCCAGTGCTGAATCACTGGTCTTTTTTATAAATATTGCTAAATGCTGATCCCCCTTTCCAGTGATTAAAGCCCACCATGTAATTAATCTCTCCTGTGTCCGCCATTTTTATGAATTGTTAAGTGCAAAGATCTTATGTGTCTTTGAACTAAGCTGAGCTTTTATTCAGTGCTCTGTATACAAAAGGCTGTTCATGACTGTAAAATCTCTCAGCGTTACCCTTGTGTTTCAGTATGCAGAAAATAAGATTAAATTTGAAAAGGTTAATGGTTTTGTGGTAAATTATTGTTTCATGTTTTTCCTCTTTTAGTAGCACATTAGATCTAACAGGGGCTCTCTGATAACAAACTGCTGTAGTAGAGGTCATGCTGTTTCCAGGCTTTGATCTCCAGCTGCTGTTTCAGACTTGACCCCACCACTTCCCATTTTTCCATCTCTGGAATAGGTTGAGATTGCCCTGAAACCATTTTTGCCCCAGTTGCAAACAACCTTCACCAAAGCTCTACAAGACTCAAACCGTGCTGTTCGTCTTAAAGCTGCCGATGCTCTCGGCAAACTCATTGTCATCCACGTCAAAGTGGATCCTCTCTTTACGGAGCTCCTGAATGGAATTCGTTCCAGTGATGACTCTGCCATCAGGTAAGCTGCAGGTGATGGCTCAGATTTTACTGCTGACTAAGGGTGAAAGAGAGGGCTGGGATGGATGAACAAAACCCCCAATTCTGAGAGTAACATGTTAGTGAAAGCAGTTACCTGTTATCCCAGGGTTGTAAAAAGTGTGGATGATGGAGCCTGCCTGGGTCAGAAGCTGAGCTGTGAGTGTGTTTGGGAGAAGCAGTCCTTGGTGTCTTCCCCCCTTCTCCTCTCTCCTGGGCACCCCCAGCAGCCCACTTTCAGATAAAAGACACTATCAACTGCCAGTCTGACCTGAAGTAATGCAGCTGTTCTAGTATCCTAAGGGCACACAGCCCTAAGACATGGACTTCCTGACTTGAGAATTTTTTTAATGTTTGAACAGTCAGAAAATATCTATAGTGTAACAGACAGACACAAGTACAGAAACATGGAAGTACTCTCTAGGATGGAGTTTTCAGCAGTGCACAGAGAGGATCAGTCTCCCAAACTGTAAGGCATATCAGTGTAATTGCTGTGCAAGAATTTGCTGCAGGTATCCAGAGCAAAATTTCTCTTCCAGGGACACGATGCTGCAAGCGCTGCGGTTTGTGACACGAGGAGCTGGTGCAAAAGTAGATGCTGCAATTAGGAAGAATATCAGCACGGTGCTTCTCGGGATGCTGGGACACGATGAGGTACTGCTTCAGCCAGCTGCAGAGGACCCCCACTGAAGACAGTCTTTCTCTTACATTTAAGATCTGAACCTTCTAACAGAGTTATTTTCTAAAATAACTTCCGAGGAAATTCCTAATGATGTAGTCAGGAGCAAGAATTGGAGATCCCTGGCCAGTCCTTGGTAACTCTGAAAATCTGCCAGTTTAATGTTTCCTTGGCAACTGCTTATGTGGGTTTGACCTGTAGCTCCTCACCAACAGGTTTGAGCCAGCTCTACAGTCAGGATTTGCTTTTTATCTTGGAGAAAACCTGCAGTACCCTCCCTGTGAGCACGGATGTGTGTTTGAAGCCTCTCAGCTGGGGTTTATTGTTTAGTGTGAGAAATTTTTCAGATAATGGCAGATTTTTCTCCAACAAGCAAGAAGCTCTCCAAGTTTAATATAGGGTCTTTTTTATATGGCAGATAGCAACAGTAACATCTGTGAGATTAAAATTAATCATCTAATAATTTCTTTCTTATGTCAATCAGTGCAACAGACATGCAACTGTTGACATTCTAGAAACAGAAAAATTGAAACATTCCCATTGGGTTGTAAGTTTCAGTGAGAAGATCAGTAATGGGATCGTCACATAAGGAAGCCAAAATAACAACAGCCTGGGAGTGTTAAATTAAAAGTAGTAAGAGTTTATCACAGAGATGAGCTCATCCAGAGATGGCTAGAAGTAACACTTATAGTAAGTGAATCTAAAGTAAACTCTTGTGCACACATCTTTTAAAGCATTCACTTTCATCTTTATGACTTTTCCATTTAACAAATCAGAACTTAGATAAGATCTGTAATTCTTCAGTCTCTGCTGGCTTTTTTGACCATGGATTTGGCTTTAAGTTCCATTATGTACAAGAAACCTTGTGAACTGGCAGAAATCCACAGGGATTAGGAGTGAAATACTACTATTTATTTCCTCCTTCTCTTTTTGTTTCCTGTCATCTTCTGGCACTTGCTCTGCTTGCTGCCTGTCCCTGGTGTGTTGAGCTCAACCCGTGTTCCTGCTCTCCCATTCCTCCTCAGGACGCCACCCGCATGGCCTCGGCCGGCTGCCTCGCGGAGCTGTGCGCGTTCCTGTCGGACGAGGAGCTCAGCACTGTTCTCCACCAGCACTTACTGGGTAGGTGAAGCTGTTCACAGGGACTGGAACCGATTCTGAAAGCAGGCAAGATTCCTTCTCAGCCACTGGTTCAGGCTTTGTGACTGAATCTCTGCTCTGTATTTTCTTGTGCGTTTCTTTACCCGTGGCTGTTAATTTGTGCACCCTGGTACACAGTGAGCACAGGGTACTGGTTGTCATTTGGGGATAGCCAGACTCTTTTTTCCCTGGATTTGTTATCAGACGACTTGATAAAAGTACCAACATGGCTGAGTAATTTCTGGTGCTGACACAGAGAGGGTGGGAGGTGACAGGATGTTCAGGCAAGGGTGGACAGGAGGGCCATCCCACCTTTTGGCTTATGGTAATTGCAGACCACACGTGGTGGCTTCACATGCTTCTGAAGAATTGACCGATTTGCGTCCAAGTTAGAAAAAAACCACAAATTTTATAGGAGCTCATAGTGTTTGGGAGTGCTACGGATTAAAAAGGGAATCTGTTAACTGGTATCAAATTACAAATGACTTTTACAATTTTATTTGAGAGTCAAAGCCTGTATAATTTTGCAACCATCAGAAGTACTTGAGTTGAACAAGAGAGTCCCTTGTTTGTGTGTGCTTCCCTGTCTGCCCAGGTGCTGTTCCTGCCTGGTACAGGTGTTGTGTTTTAGCTCTTTTTGGGAGGAATGGAGGAAGCAAGGCATCCCTTTAGATGCTTCTTGTTTTTTCATTTTATGGCAGTGAATTGACAAACTGCCAGAAGCCTCCTCAGATGAAGAGGAATGGATGGTGGGGGACTTGCCATAGTTCTCTTCTTTCCTCTGCAGCAGACGTGTCTGGCATCGACTGGATGGTGAGGCACGGCCGGAGCCTGGCTCTCTCCGTGGCTGTGAACGTTGCTCCTGGCAGGCTGTGTTCCCCAAAATACTACAACAGCGTTCAGGAGATGATCCTCAGCAACGCCACAGCTGACAGGGTGAGTCCTGCCTGAGGATGGGTGAGCACTGTCACGAGCTCTTGTTGGGAGCAGCTTTGAAAGGTTGTGTGACCAGGTTCTCTTGTGTTACCAAAGAAGACAAAACCCCCCAAGTGCCATCTGGAGGTTCTCCCTTGGCTAGGTGCAGTTTTTGTGGTGAAATGACACAACTGTTCTGGTTCTTCAAGTTCTCATCTCTGTGGAGATGAAGATTAAATAATCTTCAAATGCAGAGTAGCTTTCATTGGGAGTAAATTCCACTTCTGATTCCCTGTGAAAGGTGCAATTCACAGGCCAGGTTTACAAGAAGAGCAACTTATTTGTTTTAGGAGGATTTTAAATCAGGGGTTGAATGAGTAGTTTGGGGTAGGGTCTTGGGGGCTCGGTGGGGCCTGCCACCTTATTCCATCTGGCTCATGGTTGCATTGGGACTTTTTCATCATATCACCCAATAACATTAACCCAATGTTTTCCTGCTTTGGTGCTGCTGTTCTTTTGAAAGATGGGTTTAGCCTTCCACAAAAGCTGACAGACCATGGTTATAAAGGCTGTTGAACTCTGCTGCAGTAACACCAATTCTTTTCTTTATGTTGAAGATCCCCATTGCAGTTAGTGGCATCAGAGGGATGGGCTTTCTCATGAAATACCACATGGAAGAGGGAGGCAACCTGCCTCCCAAACTTTCCAGCCTCTTTATTAAGGTAAGAATTTTTATGGTAACTACCTGGTGGTGTTCTCATGTGATCTGAATCTCTCTCTGAGCTAACTCATGAGTGCCTCTCTATTAAATCTCTGAAAAATCTAAACATTTCTTTTTGTGGCAGAGCAGACAGAATCACTGTATCAGCCTGCTTTGCAACTGTGGATACAACACTGCCTTCCCTGCTCTAATATGGAAATTTGCTTTCGAGTTTTCTGTGCTAAACGTCGGGTCTGAATCTTATAAGTGCGTTTTTCCCTTGCAGTAACAAGCAGCTGGCAAGGAAGCAGAGAAGAGTAGGGGGGAGCTGTTGGGTTTTAAGGTTGCTAAAGGTTAAAGGGCCTTTGTTAGAAACGCATCAAATACCAACCTCATCTTACCTGAGAGTGTTGAAGTTAACACCTTTTTCAATTCCTACTTATTTAAGTATTCTACATCAAAATATCTTTATTGGTTGTTCTAATTTTTAGGTGTGTGGCTGGATTTCTTTGGTTTGTTTAGTTGTCTGCCCTCCCTGCACCCTCCACTCCCCCACTGTCCCTCTTGGTAGATGGGTAGATAGAGTGAGGGGTCATGCTGGAACATGTTACATTTTCAAAGTTTACATTTCTTTGCAATTTACTTGAAAAAATACCAAACATGCAAGTTGGCATGATGCAGGCCAACATCCTTTAAAGCAGATTTTTTGTTTGAAATCCTACTTTTATATATTAATATTGTAGTATTGTGTTAAAATATAAAATACCACAATAGTCACAATACCTTTATCACCGTATTAATAATGCACTTGACATTCAGATATTAGCTTTCATGTTTTAGGTGTGTTAAGATTAAATTAAAATACAAAGCTCTGATTTTTTTTTAATTTTAAAGTGAAATCCGCTGTTGAAATGCACCTTATACTCCAGCCAGAGACTGACTTGGCCATTGCTGCTGAGTGAGTGTATTTTAGAGGTGCTGACACTATCAGCTTTTCTGCACTTAGTGGTCATTGTCATTTCCTGAGACAGTTGAGAGGAGCATGTGACACTCTCAACCACATATATAGAAATTTTCTTTGAAAAGGTGTTTTGCTTTCAAGGTTTGTTCTTCTCTTACCCAGTTTAGTCAAACTTGTTGGTATCAAGTGTATCTCTTGTGTACCCGTGAGTTGAAAACTGTTTGCTTTTCTTAGTATAGTTTAAAATACTTAAATTTGAAAAAAAATATAAACAACTGCTTTAAATACCTGTTCTTGGTATACTTGAATTTAATTGCACCTTTGTATCCTTCAGTGTCTTCAGAACTCATCCAGTGACATAAAATTAGTTGCAGAAAAGATGATTTGGTGGGCAAATAAAAGCCAACTTCCCCCACTGGATCCCCAGACAATTAAACCAATTCTCAAAGCGCTTCTGGACAACACAAAGGACAAAAACACCAGTGTAAGAGCCTACAGTGACCAGGCTATTGTCAACCTTCTGAAGATGAGAGCGGGTGAAGACGTGCTTGAGGTATGAGACACAAGGAAATGTCATTGTTGGTAGCAAGGCTGTGTCACCTCACTCTGCATTTGTCTGTGGTGCCTGCAGCCTCAGAATGTACTGGAAGTCTCTTATGAAGTAGGTGGAGTGGGACATTCCTATTTGCATTTAGGCCTTCAGCAGTATTCTCATGCTAAGCCCTGAAGAAATAAGTGATACTGATACTGCACAACCCTACAGTGCAGCATTAACAGAATCAAGGCTTTTAATGCACCCCCCCTGTTTGACAAATGCCTTAAGCCTCCCCTGTGCTGGAGTTCCCTCAGTTGGCACTGATAATTTATTGCTTTGGCCACTTGTATGATCCCACTGCAGTGGTGCTAGGGGGTATTTTAGAATGGACTACTTCATGCATCCATTTCCAGACCTGTTTTCTAAGTCTGACCTGCTTTTGGATAGTTCCCATGTCTGGAATTGTAAAACCAGATGAAGAATTTTGGTATATTCGAAAGATTTTTAGCTAAATGCAGCTTGTAAGGCACTTATGCTTATTCTTACTTTGAGTGGTGTGTCGTGAGGAGCTGGTAATTGGTGTTGCCTTCCTTCCACAGTCGGTTTCCAAGATTTTAGATGCTGCCAGCCTGGAGCTCCTCAACGAGAGCTGCCGGCGGTCCCTGCGGAAGCTGGCTGGGCAGGCTGACTCCGAGGAACAGATTGATGACACCATCCTGACGTGATACGGCTCCGGAGGACACGGAAACACTGAACCAACCGCTGCATCAGCATTTCAACTCAGAACACCTATTTTAAATGTTTTCATTTTTGAAAATGTTAATTCTGACGGGATTTCAGGAAAAGGACTCCCAGAGAGTATTTTAGTATCAAATATACCAGAATAGCCTTAATTAGACCCACATTAGCTGAAAATTAAAAATTTGGTCCCCTTTTTGAAACAGATAATGAGCAAGAGACAGACATACTAACCAGTACTGGTCAGTTGTGGCCAGTTGTGAGATGTGGCTAGAGCACATCAGGCTTAAACTCTGGTGACAGCTATTTCCTTTCCAAGGTTTGTGCAAAACCTCCAGTACTGGAAGTGTTGTTGGTCTTTCCACGCACCCTGGGAAGCAGGAATAGAACTCAGTGAAAGTTCAGTTGCATTGTTTTTGTGTACTCCTAACTTGCTGCTTGTGACGGTTCTGAAGACTGAAAATCCCTGTAAAACGAAGTATTTAAAATAGCCTTAGAAATCACAGATGGGAAAGGGGGATTAAATGCAGTCTGTTTAGAGAAGGAACATTTAATAAAGGCTCTGACTTTGATCCTGCTGCTGTAAACTGTTCTTTTCACAAATGCATTTGTCAACAAACTCATACTGTGATTTACTTTTCGGACCTGCTTGTTTTAGGGGATACAGTTTGTAGAATGGGCAGCACTGTGGTCTCTAAAAATCTTTTGCAAAACTGAGGCAAGCCAGGGTTTAAGGCCAAGCCAGAACTGACATTTAATGTAATTTGTAATTACTGCTGTTGATTTCCAAAGCATTTTTGGTGACAGACAGCTTTTCAGTTATCCAACTTGTGAAAAGCTTTCCATGTTTAGGTCTTCAAAGGCTTCACAAGATACTTGGCACTTCCACCATTGGGTTTTTTGGTCATTGACTTGTGCTGCTCCAAGAAAGTATTTTATTTTACCTGGTCAATATATATCTCTTTTAAAAAATTATTTTAATTTACTAATACCTTTTATGTTACTTGATGGAAATAGTGAGAATCTTGTTGCAGAATACAAATTTTTAGAAGGCAAAATGAGCTTTACATTCCATGCAGAGTAACAGTTAAGTGAGCCTTATCTATTTTCTGAAACTCTCAGAAGGTGGTTGCACCTGAGGAGCCAGAGCATTAAGATTTGTTGTTTCAAGTGGTGGGTGGTGTGTGGGGAATCTTTCTTGATTGTAACTCTAGATGGCTCAAACCGTGGTGATGGGAGGACAACACAGTATTATACATCATAAAATTTGAAAGCATAAAATGGAACCTCGTGGAACACACATTCTGCTAGAACCAATTTGTTGATTGCTGTGGCAGTAGCAGCAAACACAAAAACATTCAATTTTTACCATATGCCTCAAACAGCAAGATACAGTCTCGAGTATTTGGGAATGCTGTGCTTTGTTCTGGTCAGAAGTACAAGAACCTGTCAAAAGGTTCTTGATGTTATGTCAACTCCTGAGCCTGTGGTGTATCCTCCTGACAACAGGGAATTGCTGTAGGAGTCAGTGGAGGGGTGTTGGAAGGGACTTGGGAAAATCAGCCATTTTACCCTATATCGAAGATGGACTCAGTTCCAACTAAAGCATTCCTAGCTGAATTCCACATAATTATTTTTTAGAGAATTGTAGGATGGAGATCTGATAACCTTTCTATGCCATTTATTTAATTATATAAACTTTTTAGACTATCAGAACTTACCTCATGTCTAAAAAAACAAAACTTCCTTGCTGCTCCTTGAGTCCATTGCTGCTTGTCCTGTTCCCACAGACATTGAAAACAGTTTGTCAGTTCATTTTTGCAGCAACCACATTGTTACTTCAGCGTTCTAAACTAAATAAGTTTAGATCTTCTAAGTATTTTCTCATAGATTTTCATGTTTTCTAAGCAAGGTCTGGGTGTTCTTTTGTTGCAACACTGCTGTGTTGTTGACATGTTATTTTGTGTTCATCTGCAAACCCAAGCTACAAAATTACTCTGTAGCTAATTATTTCTAATCTTGCATTTATGCATTTCACTGTCTACACAACTGCAGTGCTTCCCTTTTAGTCTGACTGAAATTGTGTTCTACTTATCACATTTAGCTCCATTCTGAAGGTGTTTTTTAATTCTCATTTTTGCCTTTCAAAATACTTGCAAATCTTAAACCATCTTAAAACTACGTATTCTGCACTGAATTGGTAATAGAGTGAAAACTCAGCTAAATGCTCTTAAGGATTTGGCAGCTCAGGGCACTGGAATGAGTTTCATCTGTAATACATTAGTTGTGCTTTGGGATAACAGGAACAGCAGTTAAACCATGCAGTGCAAAAACCTCTGCACTGAAACATGTACAAAATGTTATGCCATTCAAAAGCTACTAAATAGATGGCAAAAAGCTCAGCTGTTGTACTGGAATCACTCACTCCATCACTGCAGACAGGAAGGAATGATAAAATGGCAAGTTTTGGGGAAGAATGGCTGTTTGAGCTCTTGCCTGCGGGCACCTTGGCTTACCTATTTGATATCTGATTCCAGCTGATGCCCCACATAAAAACATGGGAAAGAAAATTACAGTTAAAGAAAGCCTTTTTTATTAATTTGTTAATTTTTGCCAATAAGATCTTTTGTTACTCAGGGTATTTTGATGATCTGTAGTTCCAACTTAGGTGGCAGAGAGTGGAAAAAGTCATTCATCTTCCCAAACAGCACCTGAATTTCTGCACTGAGCTTAGTTGTTTCTGAGAGGAAGGAGTGAAAGATAGGAGCTCACTTGCACTTACGGAGATTATGCTGATTTTTCAGTCACAGTGAAACACAGATTTGGATTTTGATAGCTACTTTTTGCTGAACTATTTATACACTGCACTATAATACATCGGAGATAAAATACCCCTAATTTTTTGCCACAACATGATATCTGATAAATTGATTGTGCCAACTCGGAGACTAAAGAATTAATTTTTTTCTCATTTCAAGTGTCTTAAAAATACCAGTTGTCAGTAAAAGATAATTTTTCCCTACGACTGACTGTAATAACATCTTTGAACTGTCAAGCAAACTGTCTCTGAGTGACAGCTGAACTGTGTGTATTTCAAGAAGATCAAAAAATAATTTATGAGAGAGGTTTAAACTTACAGGGTGCTGAAAATTACAATGGAGGAGAGACAAATGTAAAAGCATAAAATATTCAAATATTTTGAATTTTTCTTTGATAAGTCACAGTTCTTACTGTCCATTTTGTTAGGTATCATTATGCTGCCTCACGCTTTTCACGTGATGAGGTTTCATGAGATTAAAAATAAAGGTAATAGGAGTCCCTGTCATTTTGGGTTTGAGCTGGTGGTTTGCATGCTGGATTCAAGGGATCTCCCTGCACCTACGTGGCATCCTCAGTGGTTTCCAGGATGTGGGGGCCTTAACAGGGGTGAGCTGTGAAAGCTAGAATACGTTTTTTGAAGGTTGAGATTAAGGAAAGTTTATAATTAAAACCACAGACATACTGTTGATCAGAAGTATTTAGAAGATGCAATTTTATGTGGTAAAAAAAAAAAAAAAAATCTTTAACTCAGACATGTTATTTGAGCCATCCTGTTGATTTGTTTCCAGATGAATTTCTAGTCCATACAAACTGGACAAATAAACCTAACATATGCTTTTGTTGCTGTGTTTTTACAAATGTATTAAAAAGCCTTAGCAACTGGGAAGTCCTAAGTAATTTACATATTCTACATCAAAACTGTGTTGTTTGATCTTTAGAGTTCGAGTATGAATATTTTTGTAGAAAAATTAATCAAAGAGAAAACCAGCACTTTTCTTGTGCCACATCTCCGCCTAGAAGTGGTTACTGCCTAAAAAGTGACCATAGTCTTGCAGAGTTTGTGTAGTCAGTGTCTGTGCAACTATTACTAAAATTATTCAGGCTGTCCGTGTGTTAAAACAACTCTGAGAGTGCTGTTTGAACGGTGGATTTGGGCTGTGGATGGTGCAGGCACAGCTGATACACGCGACGCTCATCTTGAGCCACACAGAGGCACTTCTGTGGATTAAAAACCCCGGGAATTTAATTCCAGATTGGCCTGACGTGCCAGGCCTGTGACACACACTTGGCCATTTCGTATCACTCTGCTGTGACCTGCAGGCTGGGCTTTGAATGGGAACTGTTCCCGCAGCTGCACAAATCGCTGCTTTGGTGCACAACATTCTTGTTAAAGCAGCCAAACACACTCCTGCTCTTTGTGGTCTGCTCCTGTGCCTTGCCAGAAGCTGACAGTGCTGGGGCTCCCTCACGCCTTGGGTCTGCCCTGCGGGCAGTCTCACCTTCTGCCACGTCCTCCCTCACACGAGCGCAAAGGGAGCTGTGGGCGAAACACTGAGGGGGACACACTGAGGGGTCAATCGGCGGCTCGGCATAGAGGGAAGACAAGCTGCCCGTGGAGGGGAAGCAGGACATGGTTCTCAGGGCAGTGGAGGGCGGGAGGCGGCGGGTCCCGGGGCGGCGGGTCCCTCACAGGGGTCCCCTCACGGGTCCCCTGACGGCCCCCCCACTGCTGCCCAGACGCGCGAGAGCCCTCGCGCTTCTCCTCTCCCCACCGCGCAGGCGCGGCGCGCGCGAGGGCGCGGCCGTTTCCCCGCGCAGCCGCGGCGTGGGGCGGGGCGGGGGCGGGGCCGGCGCAGGCGCGGCGGGCGCAGTTGGCGGGTTCTTCCCACCCCGGTGGCGGCCCCGCGCATGCGCGGCGGCCCCGCTGTCAGTTCCGGCTGTTTGTCCGGGAAGTGGCTCCGGCCGGAGCCGCCGCCGCCCCCCCGGTCCCCCCGATCCCCCCGCACCCGCCCCCCGCCCGCGGCCATGGCCCGGGACTACGACCACCTCTTCAAGCTGCTCATCATCGGCGACAGCGGTGAGCGCGGCTGGCGCGGCCCCGGGGGGCGCGGGTAGGCCGCTGGCGGGGTGTCCGCCCCTTCGGGCCGTGAGGGGCCTGAGGGCGGCGGCGCGGGGGAAGCGGGGAGGGGCGGCCTCCTCCTCCTCCTCCTCTTCCTGCTGCTGTTCCCGGGGCACCCCCGGTTCCTGGGCTGTGCCGGGACCCCCCGCGCTGTGTGTGAATGGGGGGGCGCGTTCGCTCGGGCGTTCGCGGGGTTTTATCTGGTGAACCTGCGGAACTGGCTGCCGCAGGATATTATGGTAAATAGCTTGACTGCGTTTGGGAAAAGGCAGATTGGGCACGTAGAAGTCAGGACAGCACTGGCAGTGCTGCCGGCATCAGCCCTGGCAAGCGCGTGTTTTGACGGCGCCCACTACTCTGTTGCTGGGATGAGGAGGGAATTCCCTTCTCCTGCTGACTGGCGGTTTAAAGATCGATGGGAAGGGCTGGCTGCCCTAGGGACCATTGTTTCCAGTGTGGCAACTACTACGTTTTGATAGTCATTGTTATCTTAATTATTCCATAAGACACTTTCTGTGCTTCAGCCTGAAGTCTCAGTTCTAGAGTTGGTCACTTTTTTTGAATAAATCCTTGAAGAGTTGGTAGCTTTGTGTATTTCTGCTTATAGTATAGGATGCAAACATCTATAAACAGAAGATAAAGGGGTAGTTTGAGTTTCTTCAGAACAGACCCCTAAATTCTTCTGCAACAGCTTCAGAAAGCTCTGGAGGGCTGAGAACTCAGCCCGTGTCTGGTGCTTTAGTCTTGGTACATAAGAACTGGGACTGGGAAGATTTCTGCCCTCAAGTCCAGTTCAGTGTTGGTACCAATCCAGTAGCTCACAGTTTAATTTCCATAAACTGGGGAAGATTGCATCCACCCTCCTCTTTAGCAGAGGTGTGGTCCTGGGGCGGCAGGTCCCGGCATGCAGCGAGGAACAGCTCTTGGATGAAAGTGTAAAATTGCACTGTCTTACCAGTTGTCACCTTCAGAAGCTTTAGCTGTATTTAAAAGTGTTTATTCTACATGAAACTGTGTCTGCATGGAGGGATCTAAGGAGGGAGAAAGAGCAACAGCTTCAGAACAGCTAAAACCCCAGGCAGTTTGGGGAGCCTGAGGATTATTACAACCAAATGCTGCATTCCGAGTAAAACAGTAGCTCTGCTGCTTGCTGATGAGCTTCAAAACTGTTCAGGCAAGACAAACAGGGTGGTGAGAACTCTGAGGAAGACTTCTCTTCATTTTAAACAATTAAATCAAATTTCTTAACCGAGTCTTCTTGAGCAAAGTCCCTACAGTGTATCCAGTGAAAGGAAAGAAGTGTTGTGAGAATTCTCGGGCTGCCTGTGGTTCTCTGTTGTAATTAAATCTCACTGTGTAGTTTGAGTATTGATTTTTCTTTGGTTTTGTTTTTACTAACCCCAACAGGAAGGCTTTCTCCCTGCTTTCACAAAACAAGTTTGCTTGCCTTGTTTATTGACGTTTATTCCCTGCAATAGGAAGTAGACTGACACTGGATAGGATGATTCTGGCACATCTGCTTTCCCCTGTATGCAAATCTGTCAAGAGGGTAGTAGGTTTGTGTGTTTTTAGAACAGGTCATCCTGAAAAGCTGCTGGTGATTTCGGCTGTGCCAGATATTTAAAAATAATACAGATGATCTGTGCTTTGCATCTGCTTCTTTAATTCACTCTGCTGTTCAGTAGAATATGGCTCTTGGAAACCCTGTCTGGCGCTGAAATTTGCTTTTAATTTTGATTGTGTGGGCAACAGGCCTTTTTTGTTTGTTTGTTTCATTTTGCTGTCTTCAACAGGCCGAGGCTCTTGTCTTCAGATCTTCAAATAGCTCTGTGTGGGAAGTGGGGGGTCACCAAGAGTGTGGTTTCTCTATGTGTGAACAGTGTGGGTCAGAGGCAGTGTTTGTTTAGTGAGATCGTTGTCATCGGGAGTGTGGAGAACTTCCTGAGTTCGGGAGGTTTCTTCTCCCTGGGAGCTGCCAGCGTGCTGGGAGCAGTGCAGGCTGTGCAGAGCAGGCTGTGCAGTGCAGGGCAGTGTGACAGAGCAGTGTCATGTGCAGCTCTGCAGCGTCGCCCAGGGCCGGCTGACTTTGGAGAAGGTGGTGTGGTCTGACAGGTCTGTGGGGTCTGGCATCTCTACTTGCTTTTTACTAAGCTGGAGGCCAAGGCCAAGAAGCATAGCACTTGCTGAAACATTTTTATTTTATTTCATTTTTTATTTAATTTTATTTTCTTTCATGTTATTCTTTTTTCTTAGCTGACTGGGATTTTGCAGAGGTTTAGCTTCTGTTGAAGAACAAGTCCTCTGTTAAAGTTCAGGAACTGCTCTGCTACCTTTGTTGAGCTCAGAGCTATTGACTATGTGCACCCTGTAACTGTCTTTTTTAGAAGCTTTTTTCCTTCCTTTCCCTTCCTTCTTAGATTGGTAATAATAAGAAGTGAGCATGGCTTCTCCAGATGGCTGCTGGTTTCAACTCTTTGCAAACGAGGCCTGGCTCACTGGAATTTTGCAGATTTTTAGGTTGGTTTTTATTTTTTGTTGGTAGCTATCATCACATGCCAGCAGCTGAAAACTACTGGAGTTCTGCACTGTCTTTGCATAGGTCTTTTATTCAGAAGAACTTGCAAGTTATACATCATCAAAATAATTAACTTGAATAACTTCTACCTGAAAAGATTTAATAGATAATTACCCTGGTGAAGTTGAATTTCCTACTCATGCCATAGCAGATTTATTTTGGGGAGGAAAGGTCATTAACAGCAGAGATGTTATGCAGAGATAACAATGTGGAGGCATTTGGATACCCAGATTCCCCTGGCTGGCTGTGCAGGAATGAGTTTCTTACAGTTCTTGTCTGAAGCACTGTGAAAAATGCTTCCCTGCAAGAGGGTGTGATCAGGGTGCAAACAATGTTTTATGGAAAACCTGGATGAAGTGCTACTCAAAGCACTTAGAGAAATGTTTCGTGGAACATTTTGGCAGCTTCAGAAAGGTGTGTTAGGTGTGTAACAGGCCTATTTTGGATGGCAGTACAGAACAGTGACTCCCAATTCCCCTGTTTGGTTTAGACTTCCATTAGACTGTGGCCATGATAAGCTTTATAGTACCAAGTCTTGGTCTGATTATTGTCAGAGCAGTCCAAATTCCACCAGGGCACAGAGAATGGGAGGTGGGCAGTGGAATTCAATAGAGTAGTTCAGAGCAGTGTTCTGAGCCCTTGTTAATTAGCAGGACATGCCTCTTTTTGGCTCTTTCCGTAGCAGATTTAAGCCTACTGGTTGTAAACTTGCTTTTAGTTATTACTCTTCTCTGACCTCTTGAACTGACCAGTGCAGAAGGTACTGTTGGAGGTTTTGCTGAGGGCTGGAGGAAGGAAGGGACAACCCCCCCTTGCACTGCTACCAGAAGCATCCTGAGCCTTGGGGTGACTGTGCTTGGTCAAATCTCTGAGGAGAGTGCTGAGATGAACAGTCAAGGTGGATGATACCAAATGATCTGCTGAGAAAATACATGGGTTACAGTTAAAAATGCAATGGATGGGCAAAACACTGTTATTTTGGGTTACCTGACACCCAAGATGATGTATTCAAAGATCTTGCTGTGTTTGTTTGTCATAGGTGTGGGCAAGAGCAGTTTGCTGTTGCGTTTTGCAGATAATACCTTCTCAGGTGAGTGGTTTGTTTACTTCAATAAGTGAAATGCTCCAGGTTTGCTCCAGTGCTGCTGGTTGGCAAGAAGTTGTTCTGCATTTGCCCACTGATAGCTGTACTAGGAACACATCGTGTTTCTAACTTTGCAGCTCTTGGTGTAAGCCTGTACAGGCCATCCTGTCTGGTCTTCACTTGAAACTGAAAGTCCCACAGTATTTAAATACTGACATGGTTACAGAAATAGCTTTGGTGGTTGAGCTTATGCTGTACTCTCTGCAGACTTCCCATTAGCCATTTGGAGTTTAGATTGATTCAATGTTGTGGTAAACCACTTACATTTGTGATATAACCAGTTTATTGGGAGGAAACTTTTAGAACAGACTGTATTCAAAATCAGTGTTTGCACAAGTATTTACAGGAGAGCTTTGTCTCAACATTTTCACAAGTGAAATACTCTCCTAGTTACTGTTTCTTGAGATATCTAAGTGCTTACTCTTGATCACCAAGAAGAATAATTTTGTTTTGTAGCCCTGACCTTTAAATTTTAAGGGTGGCATGGAAGAAGTGACTTTATGGCTAGGAAAAAAAGCTGTTTTCTGCAGATAAAAATACACAGATCAGCATGACTTAAGGCATTTTAAACAGTAAGCAGATATGGGGAACCTTGTCCTCCTGTCCAGTCTGAGAGTTGCTGCCAAGCAGCGCTCAGAAGTGTGCTTTGGGACATCCAAAATAAACAAGACTTGAGTTCTGACTTACCCACACTTTCCCTCCAGGCAGCTACATCACTACCATTGGAGTGGATTTTAAAATCCGGACAGTTGAGATCAATGGAGAGAAGGTGAAACTCCAGATCTGGGACACAGCTGGCCAGGAGCGCTTCCGGACTATCACATCAACGTGAGTATCGCTGGGCTTTGTGACGTGCAGCTCTGGGGGCAGACCTTGTAGTTCAGCGTTAGG